CATGATTGGCAGTTCAAAACTAACAGCAGCTATGTGAAAGAAAGACTTGGTTTTCTACTCCTGTAACCAGTTAAAATCTTGGAAACCCACACAGGGTCTTTGTGAGTTTGAGTTTAATTTTACAGTAAAATAATCTACTATAAAAGGATTCCATCTCATAGTGATCTTGTAGGGGACCTTAAAACTCCCCTTGTGGGTTTCAGAGACTGTAGCTCTTTATTGGAGGAGAAAGCTTTATCTCTCTCCAGTAGAGCAGCTTGTGGTTTTGAATTGCCAGCCTTGCAGTTAGCAGCCCAACCCATAACCACTACACCACCAGGAAATATAAGAATGTGAAAGTTAAAACAGGATGTCCACTCAATCATGTTACCAACAATAAGAATGCTGATGCTGTTACATTCTGTGTAAACTGTCCCATGAATGGATTAAAGTCACAATGTAAATGGAGTCTTTCTTTCTGAAAACTCATTTACTGGAGACAACTGTAGTCCTTGATTTAGGAAAGGAGGGTGTGGTAAATGGGGGAAAACTCAAAAAACTGTTTTAGCTATCTGCATTTGAAAAGCAGGCATTGGCCCTTTATGGTGGAAGATAATTATAATGTACTTTGTACTTGAGCTTTGAGGTTTGTGAGGAAAATCATGCCCTAATAAGTAACCAACCCCCTCCCCCCAAAACCCCATATGCATAATAGACCACTGAATGAAACGGAGGAATGTTGATTTCTACATCAAATGTTCTCCAACTGGTAATAGCTATGTTTTTGGAAATATTGCAGAGTTTAAAAGGTTGGTTTTACAAAGGACTATTAACTTTTTTTCTTGTGATCTTCTGTTTGGGTTCTGGCTTTTTCTATAGCTGTAATTTATCCTAATGATGGCTTAAATTTTTGTTTGGTTGGATTTTGCAACCATCAGAAATGTTTGTCTAACGTTCACTCACTAGTAGAAGAAAATGCTTATTTTTTGTTTAAAGTGACCTCTTAAAACAACTTTCCTGCTAGGATTCAATTTTTTATATAAGATAAAAATGCTATACATTTTAAAATGGTCATGTCACAAGTATATAGGAAAATACAAATAGATTTTATCTAATAAGTTATAGTTATTGATTTACACACTCCTCTAACATTTTGTGTCCAGGTAAGTATATTAAGTTGAACTATAGCACATGTGATAAAAAATATAAATTTAAGTAATGTAAGTGAAGGCATATGTATGTTTAATAACCCAAGACTTTATGTCCACTGTTCAACAGATCCTTTGAGAATTTCCATTGACCCAAAAACATCATATACATGTGTGCTTTGCCATCCTAAAATATTCCTATGTTTCCATGAAAAAAAATCAATATTCAATAGCCCTAATTTCCTGACCCTATGATTTCTCTTTATTCTCTCCCCTCTCCTCCTCACTGCCATTAATTTATAAAAATAATTCTACAATTTTCATCTTGATTTCTGAATGGTTGCATCTTTATTTAACTTTATCATCCATCGTGCTAACAGTGTGAGGAGGCTTTAAAAAGTTGTGGGAGAATGAAATTAAAAAGATACCAAAAATTTTCCACAGCCTTTTTGAAGAGTCTCTCATGTGAATGTGACTCTTGACTATTAACATGATAAATCATTCACTAATGTACCATTGCACAGCACACAGGACAGACCAGTATATCCAGGGCCCCTGGAGATAGGCCCTCCCTGGTTTATCTCTTGAACCTCATCTATTCCTAGGACTTGCCAGACCCATCATAAAAGTTGCTTGGATTGCTTCAATCTCACTTGCAGGTTTGTGGCTGACTGTTGCTCCAGTGTTTACGAAAACTGCTGTCCTCCTAGAATACCCTTTACCTCATCCAACTGGAAACGCATACCCATCTTTCAAGATTTACTTACACTGCTCTGTCACTACACCATAACTCATACTGAATTCTCAGATTAGATTACTATAAATCATTTATCACACATTACTCTAGAATGAATAACTGTTTTCACTATACTTCCATCTGTTCCTTTTCCCTGCAGGCATTCAGTAAATATTTATTGAACTCCCACTATATTTCAGAAATGGCTTTGATCCCTAGAAATGCAGAAGTCAGCAAGATAAAAAAAAAA